ACATTCTCGGCATGATACACTGTGAATTTTGTGTCGTTGATGATATACACTAGAAAAAATGTTGTGAGCATGAAACTGGGTCTTCAGGGTGGACTTGAGATGTATGCGTACAGCCGTTTCACTTGACAACGGCAAAGTTGGATATCGTCTGGACTTTTCTACTATGTGGTTTTTCTGTCATCCGTTAGAGGTCAGTTGCGGTCTTGCCTATTTTGCTGCCTACTGTTTGCTCCTTCCCCTCTTGCAGACCTTGCGGTGTGATAGTTCAAGAACACCATAGTATATCAAATTTAAACATCTCATTCTTTTGCTCGATATTTTACCTTGCGGCAGTTGGTTTCTAGTATCATGTCGACGACGGCGGGGGCGTATCTGCAGGCGCTTCTTGCGCTGTCAGGTAAGCCGCATCTGTCCAATGCCCGCCACAATCTTCTACGAGATGTTAGCGATCGAGACCTATTAGACCTCATCCTACAGGCTACCGGAGGAAACTTTCCACGCGAGGGATTGGAGCACGCCGTACTCAGGATGCTGGATGCAATGGATAGAAATGGAACAATGACAGGCCAAATAGACGAAATCTCTGGACTGCTCCATGATCCGAAGCACGTGGAGCGTCAGAGTAATACCGGAACTGTCCAAGGTAAGATTAACATCCTCTTTTATCGACAGACGGTATCTGATTTCAGCGCAGATTTGATCGATTTCTCTGACGTGACGTCACTCACTCTATCAGTGGAGCACTTGACAATAAATGACAGGAGCGAGAATTATGCTCAACTAGACGAACCAACAACTAGCTCGTCTGACCTTGTGAGAATTCCCGCCGAAGTGACGCAAGTATACCAACAGCACATACACGCTTCCGAACAAGCAAAAGACGAAATCAGCGCGCCTATCCAAAATATTAAAATCGACGAGAACGATCTCCCCGAGGATGAGCAACTCCGTCTCATCTACTCATCCAATGTACAAAAAAAGTCAAAATCCTCCGCCAGGACTGCGGGAGAGTTGACGGTGCCCATGGACAACATAGTCCTATGGTGCCCAACCATAGACAACGCTGGCACCTGGGTTTTCTTAGACAAGGCGACCCAACAACTGCAGACGCAAGTGAAAACCAGATTTGAAGCGGATTTCCTGGCAAAGCTATACCTACACAAAAAACTTGGCCAGTTGCTGCGCAATCTAGGCGCCCATCTCACACACGGCTATTGTGTCAGCAAACGCCTATCTGCTAGTCAAAGAAGAGGAGCTTGTGAATATACTAGAGCAGAGGGGAATAATAAGAGGGCTTGTGATTTCTGCATCAAGATGCATCGACTTTGTTTGAAGCCGGCGATGCTTGATGGTGCTATGAGATTGGCATTGTATCCATTGCCGAGCTCATTTCGTGGTGCGGAGACGTGGGAGGATATTGGATTTTGGCTTCAGAAGTGAGCAAGCAGACACATGTTCTCGAATGCGAGCCTTGATAGATAATCTTCTTGTTTCTTAGTTGGAAATACAGGTCCTTGATGGGGCTTGCGTTGCGGGCTTGAGTAAGTGAGCAAAGTCTTACGATGTCACTTTGCCAACCAGGAATCGAATATGCTGCTAGCATTATTTCATTCATAGGATTTTTGAGACTATTAATTTGAGGGATGAGAAGAGATACATGGCTTAACTCTGCGTATCACCAGTCAGTTGGATGGGTTTCAGACATAGGTTCGCTTCCCAGCGAAAAACCTGACTCGGGGTGGAAAAGGGAGGCGAGTTCATAGGGCACAAGCCTGACTCTTGTAATGAGTTGGTCCCTTTTTCTTGTTGTTGGGTTGGCGCGATGGACTACGGAGAGTAGTTCTGGGAGATTTGAAAAGAAATGTTAACATGACTTGTCTGTCCAAGGGTGCTTTTTTTGGACAAGTACAATAGTCGCGGCTCATAGGAAGAATTTAAGACGATGATGTCAGAGAATCGAAGTAGGCTGTTACTTTTGAGCATCTCACGCAACCTCGTCTCGTCATTAAAAAAAAAGAGCACAGCAAGCAGAAGGCCAAAGACGGAAGATGGCAAGGTTGAGCAAAGATTCAGAAATCGGTTTAGATTCTCGCGTTGAATACCTTCAAGAAGATTGGGGTCATGTAACCATGTAATCATGTAATCCTATCACATTGAAGTCCTTGAACACACTAGGAAGCAGCCATCTGCCTCATCCCAGCTTTTCTCTTCTTCCGATCCGCCTCTCTAGCCTGTCTTTTCTTCTTCTTGTTCGATACTTGCTCCGAAGGCGCTTCCGTACCAGCTGATGCATATATCTCCTCGACAATCGCTCTTAAACTATCATTCTCGGCGAGTATCTTCTTCGTCTGACCTGGTACGGTAAACATGTCGCCTATGGACGGAAAGAGGCTCATGTGCCTGTTGATCTCGTCAAGGCTACCGTTGAGCTCGGCATCCCTTGATATTTGTTGTGTGAGCTTTACGTTGACAATCTGTTTGAGCACACGCAGAGAGTACATCGCAGCCTGAATCCGAGCTGTGAGTTGTACGAATGCCCATGTGTTGTCGAAGTCAGCGTTAAGGACCCGCAAAACCAGGGAGATTGCTGGTGCAGTGTTCAAATCCGAAAGTACCAGACTAAGTCCGAATAAAGGCCAAAGAAGCTCAGGTTCGATGCGCTTGCTGTTTGCCCAGAGTATCAACCCACTTATTTGCTGTTCCAAGTGCACAGTAGCGCTTACAGTTTCTGCTTTACTTAAGGGTTGGATCTCTTGAGAAGACACACCCTGAGACTTCCTTCTATACTCATGAACAAGTGTTCCCGCAGGAGCCAATAAAGAGTATGCGAGTTTGCGTACATCGTGACCCATATTCCACGCGGATGCCTGGGCAGGGTCTTCCATGAGCAGAGGCAGGTAGACGAGTGGGTTTGTGGAAGAACTCAGAGCTTGATCCACATATTCAGATATTCGTACGTCCAGGTCTTGCAGACTGAGTGCATCTAAAGAAGCTTTCCTACGGTCGGCAGATATTATGGCGCTCGGTGAGTACCGTCGGTTGAAATCAACGAACCCTTCTGAGGAAAGATTCACATTTCGTGCGTTTTGGATCAGAAGATTCGCGGTATCTTGCGGGCTTTGACAAAGGGCATATGCGAACGGAACCAGACTTTGAAGATGCAATTTCCCCCGTATCTGGTCGGGGCTGAGTGCTCGAATACCCGAAGATAGATCAACATCATTCAAGAATACGATGAGTGTCTCCTTTGAATAGTGGTACAGCACAAGGTCGGTATCGCTCGTGAAAACCACCGAACGATCGACATCTTTGGCATATAGTGCACACCAATCATCGGCTTCTCCAGGTACGATGCGGGTCCTGGCTGCGTATGGGGATGCGGCTAGGGCTTCTCGCAAGGCGGGCGCCAGGAAAGCGTACAAAATGGAGGCCAACGTTCTTGGGATGGGACAGGAATCGGTGGGATAGCTGGCTCGCAGTTGTAATACACGTTTGTTGTTCTGCTCAAGTCTTGACAACCTCTCGACTTGCTTCAACTTTGGCAGTGCCCCATCGAAGAAGATTGTCGACCTGGGCATATGCCGTTAGCTATGATCACACTGTTCTATATTCAATACGCGCATGTGTGGAGTAAACGTCATTGAGACTAGGTCAACCATGTCTAGGAAGCCAACGAGATGTCCAGGCCACAAACGAGAGCGATGGTGTCGATGGATTTTCGACTCATCTAGACATGGTCCATTAGACGTGGCTATCACTACACTTAAAGTGTGAGTCTACCAATGCTTGCAATAAATGATGATGAAAGACTGAATAACACAAGACATGGGTGTACGCACACTTTAACGTTGATCTTCTCGAGTTGCTCTAGCCAGCGTATTGCCTCTGTGCAGATTTCCCGGTAAGATGGTAGTTTGGATGTATCTTTTGAAGCAGTAACAGCAAGCTTGTGCCCAAAATATGCCAACGCTGGGCCGTCGATAATGGCAGAGTAGCCATCCAATTGATCAGCTGAGTATTGAGATGCATATGGCTCTAGACGTCTAGCGAGCCCAGGGATGCCCATCCTGGGCTAAGGTAACAGTAGGAGATGCTTCTCGAAAATGGAGATATGGAAGGCAATTCGACACAAACTAGGCCTTGGGCTATCTTTCTCGTTGCTTGCAGAATGCGTCTTGTTGAGATGCTTCGAGTCGCGGCCCATGAAGCCCCCAACAAATTGTCTAGTGACGGAAGAAATTGCACCTGACGGAGCCTTACTCTGCTCTGCGTTGCAATATCGCCACTGTTGGGACTGGCGAGGGAAAAGTTGAGGAGGTTTGCGGATCGCTTCCCTAGAAGTGTTAGCGAGCTTCCCAGCCAGCGTCATCCCGCGTAGTGGGGGGGAGGGAAGGAGCTAGACTAGAAAGTAGCTTGCCCCTCCCCTCATCTGAGCTCAAAAGTTGACCGCGTCTCTCAACAATACAAACACACTCCAATCGCTTCAGAACAGAATACCAAGACCTGAAGCATTGCACAAAACACACAATGAGCATCCGAACCGTTCAACTGAAGCCATTCCAGGACCAGAAGCCCGGAACGTAAGTAAAAGAAAGCTCTTCTATTCATTCCATTAGCTGTCAGGGTCCAGAACATGGGAAGCATACGCTCTAGGATCGTGCATTTCACGACAATTCGACAAATGCTCTGGCAATATCTGCAGATGAGAAAAGTCCAAGAAAATAATTGGAAACAGAGTGGAGCATCAAGACTAACGTATCTACCTACTCAGTTCTGGTCTTCGCAAGAAGGTCAAGGTCTTCCAGCAGGAGCACTACTCAGAGGCATTTGTTGCCAGTATTCTGCAGTCAATCCCCGAGGGCGTTGAAGGCTCGTTCCTTGTCGTCGGTGGTGATGGTCGCTACTGGAACCCAGAGGTCACTCAGCTGATTGCAAAGATTGGTGCTGCGTATGGCGTCAAGAAGCTTTTAATCGGCCAGAATGGCATCCTCAGCACCCCAGCTGCCAGCCACATCATCCGGATACGAAAGGCTACAGGTGGTATCCTGCTGACGGCCAGTCACAACCCAGGAGGTAGGTCGATGAAGGTGCACATATGGAGAGCATGGTCTAACAGGCAACAGGTCCCGAGGAAGACTTTGGCATCAAATACAACCTCGCCAACGGTGCGCCGGCGCCCGAAAGCGTCACCAACAAAATTTACGAGACATCCAAGACCATCACATCGTACAAGATTGCCGACATTCCTGATGTCGACCTCAGCACAATTGGCACACAGAAGGTTGGCGATCTCGAGGTTGAGATCATCCATTCCACAAAGGACTACCTTGCCATGCTCAAGGACATCTTTGATTTTGACTTGATCAAGTCCTTCCTCAAGCAGCACCCAGATTTCAAGGTGCTCTTTGATGGCCTGAGCGGTGTGACTGGCTCATACGGCATCGACATCTTCGAGAAAGAGCTCGGTATCCCCAACAGCACACAAAACTGCATTCCCAAGCCCGACTTTGGTGGTCACCACCCCGATCCCAATCTGGTATATGCCAAGTCTCTTGTCGATGCTGTCAACAAGAACGGCGTCCACTTCGGCGCCGCCAGTGACGGTGACGGTGACAGGAACATGATTTACGGAGCCAACACCTTCGTTTCGCCTGGTGATAGTTTGGCCATCATTGCACACCACGCAGAGCTTATCCCATACTTCAAGAAGCAGGGCATCTACGGACTTGCACGAAGCATGCCCACATCTGGCGCGATTGACCTCGTTGCTAAGAAGAAGGGCGTTGAGTGCTACGAGGTGCCCACTGGCTGGAAGTTCTTCTGTGGCCTCTTTGACTCCAACAAGATGAACATTTGCGGTGAGGAGAGTTTTGGAACGGGTAGCAATCACATCCGTGAGAAAGACGGGCTTTGGGCTGTTGTCGCATGGCTCAATATCTTGGCCGGTGTGGGACAGCAGACAGGATCTACGCCAAGCATCGCCTCGGTTCAGAAGGACTTCTGGAAGACGTACGGACGTACCTTCTTCACTCGTTACGACTACGAGGGCTGCGAGACGGACGGCGCCAACAAGGTGACTGCTCACATGAAGGAGCTGATCACCACCAAGAAGGATGAGTTCATCGGCTCTACCATCTCCGGCCGCAAGGTTGTGGAAGCGGACGACTTCTCCTACACAGATCTTGACGGTAGCGTCAGCAAGAACCAGGGTATCTATGTCAAGTTTGACGACGGCAGCCGTATTGTTGTACGTCTGTCGGGCACAGGCAGCAGCGGTGCCACTATTCGTCTCTACATTGAGAAGCACACGAGCGACGAGTCCACTTATGACTTGGACGCCCAGGATTATCTCAAGGACAATGTTGAGCTCGCAACTGGCTTGTTGAAGCTTCAGGAGTACATTGGCCGCACCGAGCCCGACGTCAAGACGTAGTCAATTATCGATGCGGCGGATGGCGATGTACCACCACTTAGTTGAAAGGGACGAAGACATGGCCGATAACTACGGTAGTGTGTCCCGGGTTTGATGTAGTGATAATTTAGCGTATATAGCTTACATGGAAACGTTTTTGACGTGCATGACATAAATTGTACAGAGTACGTTGCTTGAATCTGCGTAGGCTAGTTTTTTATTTTGTATTTCCTGCGGACGAAGGATCTCAAGCTTGGTTGCCAGGTTGTATTCATAGGCGGTGGCGTGTAAGGAATAATCGTCATGGAAGCGGGAGGTAGTAGGTTGGGTGTACGATAGTACTATAGGTAGGGTAGGCTTGGGTTGGGTTGTGCGCGTTGGTGGCTTAGCACTCGCGACGTCATGCACTTGCCCCTTTCAAAAACGGCTTCCATAACAAGAGAGCATGGACCCTCTCCAACTAACACTTCCCCATATCTCTCTCTCCCCCGCCTTTCTCATAGTATCCCTCCAAGTCAAGGCAAATACCAGAAGAAAAACGTACCTACTTCCTACCCTTCGCCTGCCCTAATTAATACGCTTCCCCTACAAAACTTATTTGCTACACCACAGTCATGCCTGCAGAACAAGAAGGCGCCGCTGTGCCCCCACAGGCAAAGAGCTCCTGGTCGAGCTTCCTCAGAGTAGGATATTACTTGATTGCACAACAACGCACAACCACAGAAACTAATACGATGATAGTCGATTGCTTCATTCAATGGCGACCTCTCGACTATGACGGCACCGGCCTTTATCCTCTCCACAAAGTCGCTCACCGAGTTTTCTTCCTACTGGACCGAGCACCCCTCTGTGTTTGTGGCGCCCGCCGCAGAGAAGGACCCTGCAAAGCGATCCATGCTCGTCTTGAAGTGGTTCTTGAGCACACTCAAGCCGCAATATGCCAGTCGGAGTGAGAAGCTAGGTAGCGAAAAGAAGCCTCTGAACCCCTTCCTTGGCGAATTGTTCTTGGGCAAGTGGGAGGATGAGGCTGGTACCACACAACTCGTTAGCGAGCAAGTCAGGTAGGACAGCATAACCATATCGTCAGCCATGATGTTGCACCTGCTAACGTACCGCCTTCAGCCATCATCCTCCCGTTACTGCTTACTCCATCTGGAATGACCAGCACGGCGTTCGATTGGAGGGCTACAATGCCCAGAAGGCGTCCTTCAAGACCACCATCAACGTCAAGGTACACTCACTCACACTCACACTCCTTTTATTTGCGCCATGCTGACAAGGAGAAGCAAATCGGCCATGCCATGCTCCACCTAGACGCGTTTGACGAAACCTACCTCATCACCCTGCCCTCTCTCCATATCGAAGGCCTCATTACAGGCTCACCCTTTGTTGAGCTCAACAGCAGTACCTACATTCAATCCTCCACCGGCTTCACATCACGCATCGACTATAGTGGCAAGGGCTGGGTATCGGGCAAGAAGAACACGTTCTCTGCCGTCATGTATCCCGACGGCAAGGAGAAGGAGGCCATTTACAAGGCTGAAGGACAATGGAGTAGCTGCTTCCAAATCAAAGATGCAAAGACCAAGGCAGTCGTCGACACTTTCGACCACAAGACTGTCAATACAACACCTCTTACAGTGGCGCCAATTGAGGAACAAGATCACTTTGAGACTCGGCGCGCATGGAAGAAGGTCTCTGACGCTATTGTAAAGGGCGACATGGACCTCACGTCTGCCGAGAAGACGATCATCGAAAACCGCCAACGCGAGATGCGAAAAGAGGAAAAGGATGCGGGTACAGAGTGGAATCGCGCTTTCTTCACCCGTACAGACGAGCACCCGCTATTTGAGCAATTGGCTTCTAAGGTCGGTGAACTGATCAACGACACTCAGACTAACGGTATATGGGTGTTTGATCAGCAAAAGGCGAAGACTGCCACTTCGCCATACCACCCGGACGTTGTACCGCCCATTTACGAAAGGAAGTGAGGAAATTAAGCAACCTGATCAACAACTATTGCTTGACCCTTGCTACCTCGTCGCTTGGGTCCGGCCGTCGAGCGTTCTAGCACACCCCAAAGATATAATCAGCGCTTGCGGACAGGGGCCTGATGTAAAGTTCACTACTAGATGCAAGACGCAAACATCACGGCACGGATGATCAAGCACAATTCTCCGCAGAGTGATGGCTATTCGCGAACGCCTTGGGCTATTGCCTGTCATTCTACAAATCCACGTTTCTGGTCTCATAGCCTCGATATTCTTCATGCGATGACGTCGCGAGATAAATCAAAACGTGCTCAGTCTTCACTCGTAGCACATGATTGACTTCACTGAAGCAATGTGTTTTATATCACCAATTTAATTTCATAAGCATACATGACTTGCATCACTTGAGAGCAAGCCTATCAGTCTCGTCATGTCTCTCTTGTGCATACTTTCCATACATCCCTAGCCCCAATCCTGCCCCTTCGAGACTCCTACCCACCCGATTTCTATAAAAAAAAGAAAAAAAGAATCAGAACCACGTTGGCGTGAATTACGCGCTCAGAATTCAAAAAACAGGGCCTGCACGCCCAAGTCCCAGCTTTCCTTTTTCTAGAGTAGCAAACAGACATAGAAGAGATGGATGTTTATTTTTCCATTGACTTTTGTCTCACGACAGAAAGACCACCGACGAGCGTTTGCAACATTCGGCATTTGCTTGTCTCATCTGGGGTCTGTTGGTACAAATGCGAAGGCCGCAGATAAGGTCGCCATTTCAGCGAGGGATGAAAGAGGGAGGACATGGAGATCATGTTTGAGGCCTTTTGAGTCCGAAGTTCGTAGACCGCGATCTTGGGCGCGGCGAAAAACATGCGGTACCACTTCTTCTTGTTTCGGCGCTGTGCATCAATGGATGGACTCCATTTTTATTTTTATTTGAAATCTCGGCGGCTTGGGCTTTAGATTTGGGGGAGTAAGGCATGCGTGATAATGGAAGTTTTTGTACATGGCTTCTGTGCTTTGCGTTTTATAGGTATGCAAATAGTTCATACGCCGACTCCATATATGGGTATAAGCAAATTTTTGGTGCCGGAGAAGGGCAAGGCTGGCTAGGGACATTGTTTGTATCGCTGTCGCTGTTGCACAACATACGATACAGTAGAAGAAATATTTCTGTAAAGATGATTTTTTTTTATACACTTGGTGGAATGGGTCCATCAGAGATGATGTGGAAGGTTCTTAGTGTCGGAGATGGGGAAGTTTGGCAGACAACATCCGTCTTTGTTGCATTACGTTTGAACGGTTCGGGAGGTCGTTGCGGGAGTCGAAGAGAAATTTCTGCAAGGGCTTGGAGGAATACGATTCGGAACTTGGAATATTTCAACCTCGGTACTTCTTCCCGCACCGACTTCTCATTGATTGACGTTTGTGTGGGGTCATGGAGTGTTAGATAACATCTCAGGTAGAGTGGAGTGGGTAAAAGCTACAAGTATCTTGGAGCGTGTTATATACTGCCTAGACCCCTACTACCTGAGCAAATACACTACCAAATGTTAGGCATTAGTCCGAGACATGTTAAATCGTCGACTTGCCCCGGAAGCACCCACCGTCATTGAGACATCGTACGTGTTTTAAGAGCACAAGTCACAAAGGCGGTCGCTTTGAAATGATCCAGTTTGACGACTTACATATCGTTAAAAGATAAGTTAGATAGCAGAGACACGCCCACATACAATGGGGGTTACCTAATCTTCAACTTGGGCCCAGCGTGGCCACTAGTTCTACACGCGCAAGACCACGGCACTATTTTGCAAATAGGGATGATTTTCTCTTTAAGAACATGCGTAGACGCATCGATTAGTCTCGATTTTCTTTTGATTATGATGCTCCTGCCTCATATTTAAGTGAGTAGGGATGTCGGGGAAGAGGAGAGAATCAATCCGGAGGTGTTTCGAGCGGATTTGATAAACCCATTGTTGTGGTGTTTTGGAGGACAGGACGCATGCCTGGCACTGCTCAGCGTAGAAGGTATGTATTTTACTCAAGGACACAGTGGCGTGATGTTGATTCTTCACGAAGTTTAGTGGCTTTTGAATGCGGTAGAGGAGTGTTGGGGGAGTGTGTCTTTGGGTATTATATATCGATTGTGAGTTGGCGCACAGGTCTTGCTTGCTCGAGGACATATACAGTGAAGCAATAGCTTTGAGTGGTGGACACATTCAGAGAGGTAGATTTGACTCGTTGCAGAGCTTTCTTCGCAAACTTGGTATCATGTCGTTTTGTTTTAAGTTTTTTGCACTGTTGAAATCAGGGCAGTCATGGAGGGTTTCCACACTTCATTTGAGTATGGAAATCAGACGACATCGAATCATTCAGATTATTCTCTGAAACCAAACGTGCACATGTCAGGTTGGCAAGTAATTTTGAAACTCCACTCTAGGTATGCTGGTGTGGTGAAGAGTGCGTTGAGGAGTGAGTAATTTATACCAGATCCCATCGCCCAGTACTTTCATACTTGTGGTATCTCGCTGTTGTTGTTGGAACTGAACATGCCACCTTTATGCCTGACATGACAGTCCTTTTTGGAGCTATTTGGTAGAGTCTCCTTGCTTTCCAATCTGCTCGCCCGTATCATACATGTCTTTTATCCTCGACACTATCACCCAGAAGAATGATTCATTCGGCAGCTAATTGCTTCCCCAACACAGCCGGCCTTTTTTCTTAATTTTCGCGAGGTGGTTCCACGCAAAAAGTCCCATTAAACCTGGCCATTATGTTTTTTCGCACAAATCCTTTGGTGCTTTGGTGTGACAAGAAAGTAACACCAGTGCAGAAGATATACCGTTTTATAGGTAGCTTGTATATAGCCCACCGTCCCCCACGCCACAGAACCATGACGCTGCAATTCCACCTTTTTGGAACCATGCTGGACACGAAGTATGCGGTATTCGTTCCAGAAATCTTGTGAATCGTCCCTGCAATCTAACGCAGACACCACATCACCCGACACATTGATGATCCGGAACCACTCAATGGAAGTATAACCGTTTGAACAGCTGACTTCGGCTTACAAACAGCCACTTCAACTTTCCCATCAAACCGTCTCCCGTCCATTTTCGATCGCCATAGTTCGCACTGCTCTGGAACAAGAGCAACCATATAGTGAGCCTTGCTCGTATCCATAGCGAACAACCAGGGTCAACTGCTGCTGAATATAATAAATGTTTCAAGCTCCAGTGCCGTCACAATACCAGTAGTACTAGCTGGGCATTGCAGAGACCGAAACGAGAGCCAGAGCATGTCAAATGCGTTAGCCAAGTTTGGACACACTTCCTCCTCGTTGTCGTGCCACCTCCCCCAGTCCACGTTTCCGAACAATGGGCTTGGAATGCGGGTGTGAAGGAGAAGAGGACAGTTATGTCGATAGCCTTCTTTTATACACGCGTAGCACATGACATAAACCCAGTCAGCTCGCGTATGTCCATCTTGGATAAATCACAAGAGTTTGGACACATCACTCACATCAACTCATTACTGTGTCCAGATTCTTCCCAGAACACGAAACCGTGCCACATCGTCTCCCTAAACATACTGAAATACAGAAACGTCGTGATGATCCTTACACATGTACTGGGGCTGAGGAAGAGGAGGCAAATGTTATCTCCTGTGTTAATTCGTCTTTTAACTGCCATAGTATGGCACCGTATTGACGTGGAGGAAGAGAGAGAGGGTGGAGCCGTGACGAGGAGATTTATACACCTGAGTTTAGTGAATTTATACTACACATCCTATCGCATAGGTAAACTACGCTCGTCCCCAACATCCGGCACATCCACCGTAGGCGCCGTAGCCGGACTTGCCACTGGAGTCAACAATGGCGCCCTAGCCTCCTTCCCCTCCTTGTCCGTCCCCAGCCCCTTTTTCGACCTTTTGTTCACCCACCCAGGGTCGGGACTAGGCCATGTATAGCCAAAGCTATCACCCAGCACCTCCTGCACCCCCTCGGCGAGAATCTGCACAGCCTTCCTCCGGTTCCGAGACCACTCCCACGCCCTGTACCACCGCCCAGCCTGCACTGCCGTCTGCTCGCCTCCCTCCAGCCCGTCGAGAATCGAGCGCCAGACCAGCATCGTCTTTTCGAGCTCGGAAGCGCATGAGACGCCGATGACGCTGACACCGAGTTTGGTCCCGCCCACGTCGTCGTTGGACTCGTGTTTCCATGGCACGCCGGATGCGGGGTCGCCTCGGGAGCCGCATAGAGCACCAACTGTTATCCATGTCTCGAGCGCGAAGCGAATCGCAATGACTTCGAGGCGTTCGCTGTGCGCGTCGCAGAAATAGCTGGCTTTGCGTACGGCAGCTCGCGCAGTGGAAGAGGCGGGGTGCCAGTCACCGAGTGCACCAATGGGAACGCCGTCTCGTCGCAAAAGACCCATGCCCAAGATGGAAGCATTGGGGACAACGTCGACGCCTGCCTTTCGCAAGCGCTGGATGCCGCCAGGGCCTGCAAGGGCCTGGTTCTGTAACGTAAAATTGGCGTACGATTGGACCGCGTCCACGGGTTCGCCAGTCTCGCGGAGAATCATCTCAGCCATGTCAGCGAGGACATCGACGGGATAGCCTGAGAGGCCGATATAGCGGATTGTACCGTCTTCGTCCCGAATCCTGCGGAGTTCCTTGACGGCTTCCAAGACCTCGGCGGGGCTGACGAATTCGACGTCGTGACAGTACACCAGATCCAGATACTCGGCGTGCAGCCTCTGCAGACTGTTCGCGATGCTGTGTCGCACCCACTCCTTGCTGTAGTCAAACTCGTCGGCCGCTATACGTCCGACCTTGGTTAATATCATGTATGAATTCCTCGGGAAGGTCTCGCGGACGAAGGGCGTCGCAAGCGCATTGCCAAGTAGTGTCTCTGAAGGACCGTAGTAGGGTGATGTGTCGAAGGCGCGGATGCCATGTGTGAGAGCCGATGTGACTAGGCCTGTTGTATCGAGCGCAAACGGGTCGGTGTTGTACTGGCCGTTGAACGTCGCCGTACCGAAGATGAGAGGTGGGAGTATCGAAGATAGTTGGGTGCGCCGCCCGTCGGTGAAGGAGTACGGAATGGGTTTTTGTCGGGTAGGAAAGGTTTGTGTGGTCGTCGCATGTTCAACCGGCGTAGTAGCCATTTTTGCGAATTTTTCCTCTCTGCCGTGGTGTAGCAGAGTTGTTGTAAATCGCTGTAAATCGTACAGGCTGTTTGCGATCAGCTTGGAGGGGTTGTACCAGTATAGTGGGGTTGCAATATGCCGTACACGAGCGGAACAAATGTCAGACGTCGTCGATCAGCAGTCGAAAAGCAACCAGCAAAAAAATGCAATGTGAATGTCAATAAGAAGCATCGTCTGTCGACGGAATAACACCCGAGATAAAAACCAAATGGGACCCGTCACCACGATGTGCACTGCCTCCCGAGCCAAAAGCGGAGACTCTAGGCCTCATCATCCACCGTTTCCGTAACGTGATCCACCACCGAGCGCCCACCCCCACCGAGCGCCCACCAACACCAAAATCCACCACCCACTAAATGAGGATATTGCGCCACCCACAATAGCTATTATTACGAGATTTCTTAGAGTCGCGATTATTAGATCTATTAGAGTAGATTAAATATTTTAGATTATGTAAGCAGCTTTTTAGGGGGTCTAATTAGGCGCCCACGCTATAAAGTTGCCTCTACTACTATATCCTCTTCTACTAGCTCCTTATTAACCACCTTAGCTAGTATAATAGTAGGAGGCTTAAGGATTTGCCTCTTACCTATTTAGGACGTTTTAATATTATTTTAGAGTTACTTTTCTAGTTGCTTAGTAGTTTTCTGCTTATTATATATAGTAGCTTTTTAGGTAGCTTTCTCCTTCTACTCCTTCTTAGTAATTACTTAATTTAGGCAACGCTCCTCTATAAGTTAAGCTTTAGCAAGCTTCTATTACTTATAAAGCTTAATTACCTTGCTTTTTTAGTATTATAGCTCCTATTCTTTAAGGTTCTTTTACTCCTAGAGCTTAAATACTTGCTCTACCTTTAATAGTAAAATAAATTAGGCACTACTACTATAATTATTATTAGGGGGTAATAATAGAGGTTTACTACACTTCCTACGCTTCTTCTTATTAGCTAGGGTAGCCCTTAGGTGTTTATTTTTATAGTTAAGTAGAGTATTTCTTACTAATATAGTATAGATTATCTAGCTAAGCTTCTTTAACTATTTATTATAGATATTAATTATAGTATTATAGAGTAACTACTCTATCTTTCTCTAATTGCTTACACTTAATATTAAGGTTATACTATTACTTAAAGAAGGCTAGTTACTATTATTTATAAGTGCTTTAAACCTTAAAAGGATAATATTAGGGTTAAGTAGTAAGATACCTATTACTTTAAAAGCTATTAATATTAGCTTTTCCTTAAAGGTATTGCTCTATATAGTATTAAATAACTAGTAGAAATCCCTCTTAGTAATACTTGTAAGCCCTTAGAAGCTATCTAGAAAACTAGATAGTTAAGCTTTATATAAAGCTGCAAAGGGAGCAAATACTATAATATTAAGTAGCTAAAGGGTGTAAGTGCTATAAGGGGGATATATTATAAGTAGGATCTTATATTTATTATAGTACTTAATAAACTCTATTATTATATAAGATCTATAGCTATTAAGGATAAGTGTAAAGGGCTTAGGCTTATGCCTAAGCCTAGGTCTAACACAAGACAGACCAAGTCTAACACTACTACTAAGCGAACACACTAGACACCTATAAAAAGGCGTAGAGGGCTTACCTCTCCTTTAAGATACTAAATACTATTATTAATACTTATTATATTCTCCCTTAAGGCTAGTCTATAATATTTTAGTATCTTCTTCTAAATATACTATAATAGTAATAAGAGATAGACGCGCTAGATATTTAGAATAACTAGGTGCAACCTAATATAGTAGAAAGGCTAATATAACAGGTCTATAGATTAATAGAATAATAGGCTTAAGACTCTACTATAATAGCTATACTATATTAATAGAACAAGGAAATACGCAATTAGATTCTATCCTAACCCTCCTCTAAGCCTACTAGGTTTAATAATATACTACCTCTACCCTCTCCTACCTTATACTATAAACCTTTCCTAGTTAGCTTGCTATATAATAGCACTAAGGTAAACTTCTCCTTCTAGTAAATAACTATAGAGTTTAAACTACGTGCAGATAAAGTCTTTATTAGGGATAAGGAGGCAAGGTTTATATATATTTAGTCCTAGTTATTACTTATAGTCTAGTGCGCTATAGCACTATACTTTAAGGATAGTGCATATAAGCGTTAGGATATAAGCAGGTTTCTTAACTACCTAGTATTCTATTATAGTAACTATTATAGGCAGGAGCACGCCTAAGTTATATTAGAACACTTATATTAGAGCTAAAATTAGCCTTTTATAGAGTTCTTTGTAAATTTTATATAGCTCCTTATATAATTAGGAGGTTTATACTAGGATAATAAATAGAAGCTTTTATAACTTTAGTAATCTCTTAATAGTTATATACGCTTAGTTTCCCTTAATAGGAGAGTCTCTAGGATAAACTATAATATAGCTATAGAGGAATATAAGATAATTATAGTAGATATTAAAATAGCCTCTCTAGAACTAGGCTTTCTTTAGGCTAGTAAGTCTAAGGAGCCCTAGTAGAAGTCTAACTTAGATTAGGATAGTAATATAAATATAGTAGAAGTGGTAGCCTTATTAAGTACACCTACTAAACTACTAATATTATATCCTAACTAGATCCTATAGGACCTATTTAATATATAGAAACTAGCAAAGGTCTACACCTAGTATAGATAGGGTAGTTATTTTATACGTGTATACCCTAATACCCTATTGCTATAACTAGTAGGTATTAAGATAGTTGTAGTATTAGCAAGCAGCACTAATTTAGGAAACTAGCTACCCCTAACCTTAGGCCAAGTTAGGGGTATAAGGAGGATACTATAATAGAGGAATTATTAATAGTAGAGGCTATTAAGTGTCCCCTAGATATTAAGGCTAGGTTAAATAATCCTCCTTTTTTTATTCCCCTCCTCCTAGGTAGAGTAGAGAATATACAAGTAATAGTTAATTTAGGGTGCTAGTATTTTAGTATAGTTAAGGAAAAGTTAGTAAGATAGATTAGTAGGAACTTTATTAATATTCCCCCGCGACCCTTATAATATACCTAGGGAATTACTAAGGGTATAAGAATTTTATAGTTAGTAGTATTAGACTATAATTTAGATAGTTAGTAGTCTTAGCTCTTAGCTTATATAGTACCTAGTCTCTCCTATTAACTAATACTAGGTAGACTATAGCTATGTAGAGAGGGCGTTATTATAGATATTCTATAAGGCAAATTAATTATTAGGAAGGTAGGAAATATAGTAGTATAAGAAAGCAGGAGATGCCTATATCCTACCTATATCTCTACTATCTTAGGTTTAGTTATAGCAGTGATTAGCTAAATTAAAGATCCTAATAAGAAGATATATAGATACAAATTTTTATAATAAATATACTAGATATTTTATAAGTAATATATAACTTACGCCTAATAAAATATCTAAGAAGTGTTAATAAGGGAGGTCCTAATAATATACACACTATCTATATTACTAGTAATATAGTTCCCTATAAACCTAAGTATAAAACTAGAAAAATAAAGTTGCTACTAGAACTATAAGAGTTTAAGGACCTATTTAATAAAGAGTTAGCAAGCAGTTTGCTACCTTATTAAGGTAGTATAGATTACTATATTTAGTTAATAACTCTCCTAGATAGAACCTAGCCTAACCCCCTATAGGGTCCCCTATACCCTATATTACGTAACTAATTGCTAGAACTAAGAATATAACTTACTAGATTAATAGACAAGGGCTAGATCTAAGCAAGCTCTTCTATAGCTAGAGCTCTAGTATTACTAGTAAAGAAGCTATTAGGTAGTTAGCGCCTTTATATAGATTACTAGATACTTAATAGCATAATAATATTAAACTAATACCTACTACTACTTATTAAGGAAACTTTACGCATACTATCTAGCGTAAGTTAGTTTATAAAAGTAGATATTTGCGCTGCCTTTTATAAAGTTAGAATAGTAGAAGGTTATAAGTCCTTAATAGCTTTCTGCACCTAGTTTAGGTTATATAAATAGTTAGTATATCTATTTAGTCTTAGTAGTGCGCTATCTACTTTCTAATAATATATTAATACTACGCTTATAGAGTTACTTAGATTATATATAATAGCCTACCTTAATAATATCCTAATTTATTTAGGAGGAGACTAGTTTAACTATATAGAAAAAGTAAAGTATATACTTATACTATTAAAAGAAGTAGGACTATACCTAGACTTAGAGAAATATGCTTTTAGTGTTAAGGAGGTACGCTACCTAGGCTATATTATTAAGGTAGGCAAATTACTTAGACCTAACCCTAAAAAGCTTAGGGTAGTATAGGAATAGGAATCCCCTAGGAATATAAGAGAGGTAAGGAGTTTTCTAGGTTTTACTAACTTCTACTATAATTTTATTACAAGGTTTTCTAAAGTAGTAGCACCTTTAAACTAACTAACTAGGAAGAATACCCTATTCTAATAGGGAGAGGAAGAATAAAGTATATTTAATGCGCTAAAAAAGGTGTCTATATTAGGACTAGTATTAATATAATAGGACCTAGCTAAAGAAATATTATTAGAAGTAGACTATTTAGGATATACTCTTAGGGGTTGCTTATTATAAAAAGTTAGGGGCGCCTAGCGCCTAGTTACTTACTACTCTATAGCACTAACACTAGAGAGACAAAACTATACTATATATAATAAGGAATTACTTGCTATTATTAAGTATCTTAAAAGTTAGTTAGTAGAGTTATAGAGCGTTTATAAGCTATTTATAATATTTATAGACTATAAAAACTTAGAGTACTTTACTAGCCTTTAAAGCTTAAGCAAGTAATAGTGCTACTAGGCAGAGGAACTTTTAAAATATTAGTATATCCTATAGTATAGGCCTAGCTATCTTATAGGATAACCTAATACCTTAAGTAGATAAACTACAAGATTTAAACTCCTCTAAAGCAATACTATAGTTAGTAATACGCCCTAAATTAATTTAGGTTATAGTGTTAGAAGCAGAGGAGGTGTCTAAGTTACTAAAGGGCGCTAGCCTCTTTACTAACCTGCACATGCAGACACTATAGGATAAAGTAGTACTAGAAGATAAGATATACTAAGTACGCCTTAATATAGTTTAGAAAGGCGCTAGGTCTTTCCTAGTCTTAGCTAACATAAAGCAACAAATTAGGGACTGTGTAATTAGCGCACACAGCACTTTACTCTAGAGGGGTATTATTTAGTTGCTAATATAGGAACCCCTTATAACTACTATTATATAGCAAGCATATAAATTAGGTTTAGTAGGATATCTAGGGAAGAATATAATATTTTAAATACTACGCTGTAACTATTATTAGGATAGAATATTAGGAGATATTATATAGTATATTTAAAACTACTATTATTATAGTGCTTATATCTCCTAGAAGTGCTAATAGGGTCTATTGTAACCTATACTAGTCGCGTTATAATACTAGTCCTAAATATCTATAGATTTTATAGTTAACCTACTAGTAAAAGATAATAGCAAACCTTAGTCCCTATTAGTTATTACTAATAGATTATCTAAATATATTTAGCTTAAAGTAATAGTCTCTATAGCAGCTAATTATTATGTAAGGATCTTCTAGGATAACTAGTAGTGGTTCTAAGGCTTCCTATCCTCTATTATTACTAACTAAGGTTTAGACTAGTTAGGATCCTTCTAGATAATATTATACTAGATAATAAAGATAAACTAGTTACTATCTACTATATACCACCCCTAGATAGATAGTAGGATAGAGTAGGTAAACTAAGAAGTGCAGGTAGTGCTGCGTATAATAGTATACTTTAAGCAGACTAACTAGCCTAATTACCTACTAGCCTACTAACTTACACTTAATAATAGGGACTCTAGTATAACTAGTGTTAGCCTAAATCTACCTTTTAAATAGGTATACTATAGATATACTATAAAAGATAATATTACTACTAGTAAAGCCTAAGAATCCTTATAGAGAAGCTATAATATTCTTATTACACCTATAGAGGGGTATAGAGCTAGCGTAAGCTACTATTGCGTTTTAATAGTAATAATAATAGGAAGTAATAAACTAGTCTTAACACTTAGCTAAAAAGTTCCTAAAAAGTAATATAGTTTAGTTTATAATATATAATATAAAGATAAACTAACTAAGTAAAAAGTTTAACTAGCTATAGGTTAAGTATAAAGTAATAGAAGTCCCTACTCTACTTATAGTAGTATTAGACTTACTAGGGAACTTGTATAAGACTATATATGTAGATCTACTAGAGAGAGCTACTAATAACCTACTACTAAGCTAGAAGCTTTAGGACTTATAACTAGGCCTAATAGTTACTCTAGAAAATAAAGACATAATACTAGATAAATAGGAAGTAGAAGAGATCCTTTATATAAAGAATATAAGAGGAAAAGAGAAGTATTAAGTCCTAGTAAAATAGAAGGGGTATATTAATCTAATATAGCACCTACTAGAGGTAGTATAGGATACTAAGGCTCTAGATAGGTTTAAGAAAAAGTATAGGGATATTACGTATAATAATAGCCTAATACGTATAAAAGCTAGGAAGCAAGGGTAGAAGAAAACTAGAATAATAACTTAGACCTTTTATTATAATTAAGAAGTAGAAAGGTATTAGAGATTTCTTTTATTTATCCTTATAATACTCTAAGCAAGTGCCCTACTATTAAAGTTTTATAAGGTAGCTAATAATTAGGTAGTAGTATCTATACTATTACTATCTATAACTAACCCTCCCCTAGCCCCCCCTAAACTATTATTTATATTATCCTAACGCCTCTATATCTCTTAGTAATAGTAGTAAACGCTTGCGCGTAGTATAGGTAGGGGAGGACTTAGTTAATAAGTATAAGCAATAGTAGTAGTAGTAGTAGGAGGAGGGTAGTGCTTTAATAGTTTACTAACGCGTAGTACCCTAGGCCTAAAGAAAGCAAATATTAGAATAGGTAAAAGGGAATAAAGGGAAATTAATACTAATAATAAGGGTCTTAATACTATAGGTAGTGCGCTTAGTAGCGCTCTTAAGCCTATTAATATAAAGGTTAGTTTAGGTATAGGTCTTATTTATATACTAGTTAATATACTAGAAGGTAATACTAGTAGTAGTAGCAAGCTATATAATATTGTTGTTGCTATAACTACTATATAAAGGCGTAATAGCAGACTAAAGTAGAAATACTAGAGTACTAGTAGTAGATAGAATAATAGCACTAAGCTAATACTAATTATAGGCGCGTAAGTAGGTAGTAGGGGCAAGTAGGGTAATAGTATTATTAGTCTAAGCCTTTAATATAAGATCCTTAAAATAGTAGTAGAGCTAGTAGAACTATAGTATAAACTAGTAATAGGTGCCTTTAGTAGGTTTCCCTATAAAGGTACTAAAGGTCCCCTTCTTTACAATATAGAGGCAATCCTCCTAGTAACTATAATAAAACTAAAGCTAGTTATAAAGGGCTTAGCAAATATTAGGATTATTAGTAAGGATAGCTTCTAATTAAGTATAGGTCTTATAGCCATAATAGCAGGACTTATATAAGTGCCCTAGATATAGTTAGAACTTGCTATAAAGAAAATAAAATTAAGGGGAACTTACTACTACCTTCCTAATAGTTATACTTACTAAAGAGATAAAGCTAGTTAATATACTAATTATAGGGAAGTAGCTTTATAAAACTACTATTATATTCCTTATTATCTAAGTTACTAGAAATAATAAAGCTACTAAGTAACTATATTTAGGGAGATATATGCTAAGTAAAAGGTTAGTATAGGAAATATAGGGAGAATATTAAAAGTATACACCTTATCTTAGTAGGCCTAGCGTGGGGTCTAACTACCTTATAGTAGATCCCTACTACTAGCACTAGTAGTAGTAGACAAGGATATAATAAGGGCTAGATAGGCAGGATTTAATAGAGAGAGAGTAGAGATAGGGCTAATTAGTAGGGAAAATCTGTTATATAACAAAGTAAGTTTAGGAAATTTATAGTAGGGTAGGATAGCTATATTAGAACTTTTATAGTAGGGTGCTAAAATAAGCGTATAGATACTATACGCGCGTACTACTTAATATACAGGCCTATTATAAATTAGGAAGGAATATAAAGATATAATAATAAAACTAAAAAATATAGTAATAAAGCCTAATATAGATTATAGAGGATAAAGATATAACCCTAGACCCCTAGAAAGACAATTTTATAATAGTTTATAGGGGAAGGTTAGGGGTATATAAAGGGCTTAGGCTTATGCCTAAGCCTAGGTCTAATATAAGATAGACCAAGTCTAACACTACTACTAAGCGAACACACTAGACACCTATAAAAAGGCGTAGAGGGCTTACCTCTCCTTTAAGATACTAAATACTATTATTAACGCTTATTGTATTCTCCCTTAAGGCTAGTCTATAACAGTAAGGAGCTAGTATAAAGTATAAGCTTTAGCTTTTGTCTTGCAATTAAACACCTCCTTAAGCTAGGATACCCCTAGGGTGTAGCTTATCTACCTACTTAGTAATCCTATAAAGAAAGCTTAGTATTATAATAGGTTAAAATCTTATAACTAAGTATTCTATAGAGCTCTAGATTAGGACTAATAAATAAGGATAGGGGTAAGAGTAGTACTATTAGCGCATATACAAGCTATAGTAGTAATCTACTTCCTATTGCTATCCTAGAGTATAGCTCTAATCTTTCTCTGCTTATAGGCGCTCTTATTAAATATATATTTAGTTTTTAATAGTACTCTAATAAGAAAACCCTTCTTATCTATATTATAGATATGCTAACTCTTAATATTATATTACTCTATTTTTTAGTATAAAAGCTTAAAGTATAAGCTATACTTAAAGGTAGAATTAGCTTTAAAGCAGTTATAATTAAGCCTAGTAGCCTAATAGGAGATAAGATTAATATTATAGTAGTTAATAAAGCGCTATACCTAATTTTTACCTACTAGATTCCCTATTATTTTAGTTATAAAATTTTAAATAATAGTCTATATAGGGGGTAATCCTTACCTATAAAGCTCTTTAATATACTCTATAAGCTTGCTTTCTTATATAGTATTAAGTATTTAACTATTTAGTAGAGTAGTAGTATATACCTGCTAAATTTTCTAGTAGCGTCTAGATAAGGTTAACTGCAAGCAACTATACTTTTCTGCTATTTCTAAGTATGTAAAATCTTCTCTAAGAGTTAAGGATTTAATTGCTGCAAGCGCGTTGTTAATAGGTGCTATAGTTATTAAGAAATTTAGTGTTAAAAATTTGGTGATTTTGGTGTTGGTGGGCGCTCGGTGGGGGTGGGCGCTCGGTGGTGGATCACGTTAGTGGGTTCCGGGGTGTTGGCGCTCCGTCCGCGATGGCAGCAAGACATGAGCTAACATCAAGAGTTTGGGTCCGAGGCGCCAGAGAAAACACGGAAACGAGACCAACAGCGTGTGGAAGGGTTTGGCGACCCCCACTCATCCCATATGTCCATGAAGATTCTTGAAGAAGCTGGGCTTTGATGGGTTCTGGGTTCTTCTTAGGATGGCCATGGGTTGCGATGAAAAAAAAAAGGGTTCGTGCTGTACCGTCGGTGAATTGTCCGGCCGATCTCGCTTAGCTGCGGGATGGACCGGGGAGTGGGGGTGTGGGGTGTATCTATCTAAGATCACGTCTACCATGAATACGGGTCTTGGGTGGGTACCCGCTTATGTACATGGTAGACTTTAGAGGAAGCGAGAGAGAGAATGAGAATGAGAATAAGAATGAGAATGAGAATGAGAACATTTCCAAGTAGTATTAAACAATGTTTCCTGGTTCAGTGCCCAAAACAGTCCAGAGCACAAAAACTGACACTGGTACTAGGTACATCTCACGTGGGCTTGCGAACCGTGTATTTGCTCTTCAGCCCATGCACCGCCTTGATAGCCCTTAGTTGACGAATCGCTACTATGGTTTCCTTCCGATGATGGTGTGCCGTTCAAACTCAACCCGTCAAAGTGAGCGGAACCCTCTGATGACCACACGGGAAGCAGTCGCTGAATCTTCAAGAATAAAGACACGCAAAACTCTCGCATGTTCAAAAGCTCCCAGTTCCCGCCAGCCTGGGCCATCGTTCCAAGATCCACCAGAAACTGGTTATATACCTCGAATTCCTCTGAGCTGGGCATCGCTTCCGCCGGATCATTAATGTGCTGCGCGAGCACAGTGACCAGCGCTGCAATCATACTGATATGCGAATTCCAGTACAACCCAACATCACCCCGTGGGGCAATGGGCAGCAGACTTAACAATCGATGTGCCGCTCCATAACACTTGTTTTCCCGCAAGCCTGCCGTCATCTTGAGTCCCTCGAGTGAAAACGGATTAATGCCCGTCACCTCCTCAAACGCTGCAAACGCATGCAGGCGATACACAGTCGCAAAATAGGTCGCTTCGAGCGTCACGACGTGACATATATCTGATCTGTACAGTAGTTGGAAAAGTCGGTTGACACCAAGCGTAAAAACTTCCTGCTTGTGGAATTCCTCAAGATGCCTGAGAACGGTGGCAGAGGCGGCCTTTGCAGCCGGAGACTTCATGCAATGTGGTCTCGAGGTAAGGATCTGGTCGTTGGCTTCCGCCTGTAGGAGAGCTAGCTTTACGCGAAGATTGAAAATGTTGATTTGCCAGTATCCTTCTGCTGATGTGACGGCGCCCAGGGGGTCTAGGAGAAACTCGGCCATTTCAGGGGAGCATTCCATGACATCTTCATGGCGATAAGTCGTTGGAGAGTTAGTTATTATGCTGGTCATCGTATCGCCAATGAAAGCCAACCAGAAAACACGGCGCTGCTGCTGCGCACTGGATGCGTAGTCTAAGAGAGGCATATCAGATGTGCAGGGCTCGTAGGCCAACCCTTGTATAATGCGCGACGCGGTGGCAATGAACTGTCCCTCATTTCTACAAGATTCATGTTACTCTTCCAAACCTCAACAGTCGATTTTGGCTTTTACTGACATGTTATATCTTATTGGTAGGCGCGTGATGAGCAATGCTACCCCGAGCAAGCACTGTACCAAACCAAGGGATGCTGGCGCAGAAAGGAGCGACCTCAGAGTCATTAACGTTTTATCGAGGTAGTACTGCGCCATATACGTGTCCTGTGTTGTACCAACAGGGCTCATTGCTCGCAATCTGTTGGACCAGAAGGTGGGCTATAAGCATCTAATGCCGATATTTTAAGGGTTGACTTACGTGTGGGCCAGGCCAAAGACGACATAAGCACTAGTCCAAGCAATGATGTTGTCTTCACAGCACTCAGCATAGCATATTCGAAGATAGTTGGCTAGAACATCAGGTTGATAAAGAGGTGTGGCAGTGTTGAAGTCATTTAAAAATTCCGCAAGGAGGGAAGTCGCCACCTCGGGTGGGGGGAAGTACCAATCGAATGTGGCCGGTGACAATACTGTAGCAGTTGTGCCAGTACCAACAGTGGAAGTGGAGTCAGTAGCGCCAATTTGTACGTCTTTGAGATATGCTGAGTCGGCTTCAAATTCAGAGGAGGTTTGCAGATCCTGCGTAGGTAGAGAAGCATATGATATTGAAGGGGATACACATTTTTCGGTCTTATGGAGGTCAAGGGGTGCCACGAGTGAAGGCGGGAAGAAGCTGGTCAACTCTGCGAGAGCGTCCGTGTCAAATGGATCAGAGGCTGGAATGTCCGGGCGAGGCATCGTTTGGAATTCATGGCGAAGGTTCTCAACACACGTTGATGGGGACATCGAAGGCCGTATGGATTGTTGAAGAGGCTCATGACGAATCTGAGGTTGTTCGGCACTTCGTTTTTGTATCAGCGATTCCAATTGCTTGATCCGTTTCTCATATTCTGCAATACGGTTGCTACAACTGGTCAGTGAGGCTCGAACTGGTCAGAGGTATATTTGTGTCATTACCCTTTCTGTGGCTTCGACCTTGGTCTTCGAACATGTGTCGTCGTACACTCCTCCTTGAGGTTCACACAGATTGTGCAGCCGGTAGTGCCAGGTGTCCAGATACATCGTCTTTTCCTCTTACGGCATGAATCGCATGCCTAACCGAAATTAGTGAATCCCTATGATGCCAATCCCTCTGCGTTACATGAGGTAGGGTATGACTGATGGAGACGACGGTGTGAGGCGAGCCATCATGTGAAAATATTCTGATGCACAAAGGGAACTGGGCCCACTCACTTTCACCGTTGAAGCAGATCCGCGCTTTTCTGGAACCATACCTGACATAGTTTCTGATCTTTTGTTCGACTTGTGAATACTATCAAATATCAAAGTTGGACGTCTTGCTACTGAGGTTAAGGAGGACTCCCGCACCGACCGCCAAGAACCCGCAAACCCGCTAACTAGGTAACGTGATCCACCACCGAGCGCCCACCCCCACCGAGCGCCCACTAACACCAAAATCCACCACCCACTAAATAAGGATATTGCGCCACCCACAATAGCTATTATTACAAGATTTCTTAGAGTCACAATTATTAGATCTATTAGAGTAGATTAAATATTTTAGATTATATAAGTAGCTTTTTAGGGGGTCTAATTAGGCGCCTATGCTATAAAGTTGCCTCTACTACTATATCCTCTTCTACTAGCTCCTTATTAACTACCTTAGCTAGTATAATAATAGGAGGCTTAAGGATTTACCTCTTACCTATTTAAGATATTTTAATATTATTTTAGAGTTACTTTTCTAGTTACTTAGTAGTTTTCTACTTATTATATATAGTAGCTTTTTAGGTAGCTTTCTTTTTTTACTCTTTTTTAGTAATTACTTAATTTAGGTAATACTCTTTTATAAGTTAAGCTTTAGTAAGCTTCTATTACTTATAAAGCTTAATTACCTTACTTTTTTAGTATTATAGCTCCTATTCTTTAAGGTTCTTTTACTTCTAAAGCTTAAATACTTACTCTACCTTTAATAGTAAAATAAATTAGGTACTACTACTATAATTATTATTAGGGGGTAATAATAGAGGTTTACTACGCTTCCTATGTTTCTTCTTATTAGCTAGGGTAGCCCTTAGGTGTTTATTTTTATAGTTAAGTAGAGTATTTCTTACTAATATAATATAGATTATCTAGCTAAGCTTCTTTAACTATTTATTATAGATATTAATTATAGTATTATAGAGTAACTACTTTATCTTTCTCTAATTACTTATACTTAATATTAAGGTTATACTATTACTTAAAAAAGGCTAGTTACTATTATTTATAGGTACTTTAAACCTTAAAAGGATAATATTAGGGTTAAGTAGTAAGATACCTATTACTTTAAAAGCTATTAATATTAGCTTTTCCTTAAAGGTATTACTCTATATAGTATTAAATAACTAGTAGTGTGCCGTAGTAAGGGGTGTATAGGAGAAAAACAAGGCTTAGCCTAAAAGGTTAGGCAGATTAAATAGTATAAAGGTATAAAGGATTAGAAGATAGGAGAATAGCAACTCTAGGTAACTTTACTTTAACCTTATAATATTATCTTTTTACTTATATTCCCGTATTAAACTATATCCTCTACTATAGCACTACTACTATTAAACCTTGCCCCTCCTACTTCTCCTTATTTGAATAGGTTACTCTCCCTAATAGTTTAAATAGCGAAGCCTAAGGGGATCTTATCTTATCTTAGTAAAGGGGAGGGCCTAGCAGTATATAACTAAGAGGACGTTTCTCTAAGAATAAGGAGGGCAGAGAAAAATTAAAAAATAGGTAGTGTTAATAATTAACAATGTTAAGGCAAAAATAGTAGGCCTATACTAGGATATAGCAAACGCGCGTTAGTAGGAATAGAGTAATAACACTAAGAGGCTAACTAGAAAACATTAGAAACACTAGAACAACTAGAACAACTAGAACTAGAATAACTAGAACTAGAACAACTAGAATAACTAGAACTAGAACAACTAGAATAACTAGAACTAGAACAACTAGAACTAGAACAACTAGAACTAGAATAACTAGAACAACTAGAACTAGAACAACTAGAACTAGAATAACTAGAACTAGAATAACTAGAACTATTAGAATAATTAGAACTACAAGAAGTATTAGTAATACTAGAAGTGCTAAAATACCTAGAATATTGCTACTAATAGAAAAGCTATAGCAAAGGCTACAGGATAGTGTGCGCTATTAGCAGGAAAATAGGGCTAGGCTAAAGTTACTAACGTAATAAGAATCTACTAAAAATAAATATAAGTGCTAGCACTAGTTAGGAAGGGTATTAGGGATATAGCTACTAAGGAAGAGAAGATAGTCTATAAAAGTAAGAGATAGGAAAGGGGGGAAGTAATATAAGTAAGCAGATACTAACTTATCTAATAATTTTAATTAATATTACTAGTTTATACACCTCCTTTAATATTTATAAAAGCCTACTACCTTAACTAAGCCTATCCTTTTTACTAGGAATAATACCTAGAAAAAGTAATATTACCCTAGGGTTAACTAAAATAGAAACCTCTAGACCCCTAAGAAGAGTCCTTGTCCCTATAAGGCCTAGGAAAACTAACTTTTAGTTCTAGGGAAGGGAGGTTATAGAGTTCCTAGATAACTATAACTACTAGGTAGAAAATAGGGGGCTAGATAAAGTAGATTAGCTAAAAATTCTACTAGATTTCTATAATACTATATACAGAACTTTTGTAAAGAAGCTTAGACCCTACTAGAAGTAAGACTAGGAGGAGCTACAGGAAGCTATAAAGGAGCACTAGAGGGACTAGGATATAGCCTAAAGGATAGGTACCTAAACCTTCCTAGATGCGTATATATAAGAAGCCTCTAGGAACTTCCTAGGTCTCTTAGACTACTATACTAATTTTATAGTGTATAGTAATACCTACCTAGTATCTAAATAGCTATATAAAAGCAAGGTTAGATTCTTCTTCTTTAGAGGGTTACCCTAGGTAGATAAAGAGCTAGTCTTACTTAGTATACTAGGAGGGCCTAATAGTAATAAGGTAGCAAGCTATAAGCTAGAGAAGATCTATACCTACGTTAAAAGAATCTATTAGCAAAGAGAAGGAATAAAATATATATTAGCTAGCTAAATAGAGGAAGATACTTAGTAGGCATATTAGATATTAGAATTAGCAAAAGCTACGCCTACAAAGGAGGATATTATAGAGGCAGTAAAAGGTATTAGAAAGGAGCAAGCTACTACCTAACTACTACTAAACGTTAACCTAGAAATAGACTAGTTAATTAAGGCACTAAGAAAAATAAAGATAAGTTTAGCTAAGGCTAATAGGCTATAGGAATACTATATAATAGGCCTACTACTAAAAAGCCTAGTAAACTAGCTCTATTTTATTTTATATATAACTAACACTAGGATAAAGCAAGGAATACGTTAGAATACTATAGTAATTAGGGGGTTACTAATAAACTAGCTAAGAACCTAGGGCCCTATATAAATAACAACTACTTAGCTAGGGCTATAGAGTTATAGGGGGTATAATAAGAAACCACCTACCTATAATATATATAGATTAGAAACCTACCTAGTAAAGGACTACCCCCCCTAGTTAGAACTTATAGCGCTAGGGTAGGTAAGCACTTCCTAGAATCTAGAAATAAGGACTAGGATATTTTACTATAGACTATTATATAAAAGACTAGGGCAGGTTACTAAGCTAGCACTATAAAACCTTACTCTTTACTAGATAAAGAAAAAGTTACGTAAATACTATAAAGTTACTAAGGATATCCTTAGCTAGCTAGCGTTATAGGTTAAGCTAGAACTATTTAATAGAATAGATTTAAGAGGCTAGTAGTAGAGGTAGACTTAAGGACTAGACTACCTAGCAGCAAAAAGAGTAGGAGCTAATATAATATCTTCCTAGAATTAAGGATTAGAACTAGGAGATGCTTAAAAAGAATATAAGTAGTTCTTAAACTATTAAATACTATAAACTAGCAAGGAAGACCTAGTAGTAATAACGCTAGATTATATAGACTTAAGACATATTATCCTAGGATTAGTAGACAAGAATACACCTAGGATCCACGCCTCTACAAGGGAGAAAGAAAAGCAAAGGGACTAAGTCTTAGAGGAAGTAAGGACAGGATTAATCTAGAAGCGCGGGCGAGGAAGACTAACACAAAACCTAGTAAACTAAGAAGAGGGGGTAAGTAAGGAGATAGAACTTAAAGAGACCCTAGAGATTCTATACCTAGCTTAGGCCTATATAGACCCCTTTGCGATAATCTAGCTACTAGATAATATAGGTAAAGGCTATGCAAATTTAGGGCCTAACTAGGACCTGCTAGTAATAAGAAGAAAAGTATAGTTTAAAGAAGTAAAGAATAAGGAGCTTAAGGGGATAATACGCCTAAGCCTAAACTAAATAATAGCTACTTTTCTTAGATAGGAAGTCTAGGGAATTATAGTAGCTAACCTACTGTGAAGGGCTTAGGCTTATGCCTAAGCCTAGGTCTAACACAAGACAGACCAAGTCTAACACCACTACTAAGCGAACACACTAGACACCTATAAAAAGGCGTGGAGGGCTTACCTCTCCTTTAAGATACTAAATACTATTATTAACGCTTATTGCATTCTCCCTTAAGGCTAGTCTATAATATTTTAGTATCTTCTTCTAAACATACTATAATAGTAATAAGAGATAGACGCGCTAGATATTTAGAATAACTAGGTGTAACCTAATATAGTAGAAAGGCTAATATAATAGGTCTATAGATTAATAGAATAATAGGCTTAAGACTCTGCTATAATAGCTATACTACGTTAATAGAATAAGGAAATACGTAATTAGATTCTATCCTAACCCTCCTCTAAGCCCGCTAGGTTTAATAACATGCTACCTCTACCCTCTCCTACCTTACACTATAAACCTTTCCTAGTTAGCTTACTATATAATAGCACTAAGGTAAACTTCTCCTTCTAGTAAATAACTATAGAGTTTAAACTGCGTGTAGATAAGGTCTTTATTAGGGATAAGGAGGTAAGGTTTATATATATTTAGTCCTAGTTATTACCTATAGTCTAGCGTGCTATAGCACTATACTTTAAGGATAGGGCACGCAAGCGTTAGGATATAAGCAGGTTTCTTAACTACCTAGCGTTCTATTATAGCAACTATTATAGGCAGGAGCGCGCCTAAGTTACGTTAGAATACTTATATTAGGGCTAAAATTAGCCTTTTATAGAGTTCTTTATAAATTTTGTATAGCTCCTTATATAGTTAGGAGGTTTATACTAG